CAACCAGACAAGGGTGTCCACTGTCTCCACTCATTTTCAAGATAGTGCTTGAAACTGTTGCTAGAGCAATAAGACAGGAGAAGGAAATTAAAGGAGTACTAATTGGAAAAGAAGAGGTCAAACTATCACTTTTTTTGCAGACGATATGATACTATACCTAAGAGATCCCACAAGTTCCACAAGAAAATGCCTAGAACTGATCAACACTTTTAGTATAGTGGCAGGTTATAAAATCAGTCTACAAAATCAGTAGCCTTTCTATATCCCAATAATAAGCAATTGGAGAAAGAATACAGAGAAATGCTTCCATTCACAATTGCTGCAAAAAATTAAAATATCTTTTAATAAATCTGACAAAAGACACCAAATATCTCTACAATGAAAATTTTAAATCATTAAGGAGATTGAGGAAGACATCAGGAGATGGACGGACCTCCCATTTTCATGGATTGGAAGAATTAATATTGTGAAAATGACCATCCTACCAAAAGCAATATATAGATTTAATGCAATTCCAATCAAAATCCCTGTGACATACTTCACAGAATTAGAAAAATGCATCCTTAAAAAACCCTGGATAGCCAAAGCAACCATGAATACAAGCTGTATAGTAATTCCTTTTCCCCATTTGTAGTTGTTCATACATGATGATGCAGAGAAATAGTCACTTCATATATGGATGAAGGAAAAGAAGTAAATTTGATTTTTCCAAGGACCATGCATTATCTCTCTTTTCCCAACCACTGGCTCCTCAGTTTGTAGCCATCAGAAAATAATGGTTCCCCACCTCCAAGCATTTGACAGCTGCATCCACTGCTACAGTCTTGGGTTGGAAGACTGATATTCCAACTCAGTGCTCACAATGCTGTTTTTGGCTAATGATTTCAGCATTTCTGCAGTGGTTTTCTCAGAATTGCTCCCAAAGGTCAGTAAAATGAAAGATTTGCTCTTCACTTATAATTGTGGATGTATTAAGTTCTGCACTCACTGGTTAAAGAGATTAATGAGAAGTGAAATGTGTCATTTGTCCATAAAAGAATAAAGGGGAACTTCACAAGGCACCTACATTTCAGCAGATGTAGTGATAGGTGCATTAACTAGATCACCTGGTTTTTTTCTAGATCATCTCTTTTAACTTCATGTTAACCCTATAAAGTCAATGTAGATGGCCCTCTTTCACAAAATTCAGGCCATGACTACATGGTAAACAAAGAAAGAAGGGTATGTCTAAATGTGAGTCAGGCTTAAAGCCAGAATTTGTTTTCTATCAGAAATTCTAAATAGGCAAGTTCTCCCCTCTTTTCTCCACAGCATATCAGAGTCTCAAGGGCAGTATTTCCAGAACAACTTAAAAAGCCTCTGGTTCCCAGCAATGTGTAAGTATCTTAATTTCTCCACACTCCCATTTGTGAGTTTTTAACTGAATTATCAGAGGAAGTGGTCTTTCTGTGAAACATTTTCCTCTTTCACCTTTTAACTTTTTCTTTCACATACAGCCTATGCACAAAAGTCACTAGAAGGCAGGACATCATTGCACGATGCAAACAGAAATTGAAGCAGCATCTACATATGATATGCTCCTCCCCACCAAGCCCTGTGAGTCTTTGCTTGACTTGACTCCTTAGTTTGCAGGTGGACAGCTCCAGCAACCCTCTTCCAGGGAAGATGGCTGTGAATTCACATCTGTCTACTCTTTGGCTGAGGACTATCTTCAGTATGTCCTACAAGTTCCCTCGTTTGAATCGGCTCCAAGCAAAACGTCCAGAGTGCTGTAAAAGTTGTTTTCTCAGTCCAAAAAGAAGTTGAACAGAATCTGAAACTATACTTGGACAATTTTGATGTTGTACCCACAGATACAGCTAGTACAATATTCAATCAAGTGATGGAAAAAGAATTTGAAGATGGTATCATTAACTGGGGGAGGATTGTGACCATATTTGCTTTTGGGGGTGTTTTCCTCAAGGAACTTCCACAAGAGCAGATGGACTTGGATGTGGATACCTACAAGCAAGTTTCTTGTTTTGTGGCTGAATTCATAAAGAATAACACAGGAGAATGGATACGTCAAAATGGAGGTTGGGTATGTGTGATCGAAATTGTTTTTCATTGTAACATAGGAATTGAGTGTTTCCTTACTTTAAAATGAACCAGAAACTACCAAGTGAAGGATTTTATTTTCTCTTAATGGCTTGTTTTAGAAGATTTTAATTAAAACTAAACAAAGCAAAAACTTTCTGGTTCACTTCCAGCGAATCCTAGAACTTCATAGCAGCAAACATTTGTGTCTAGGCTAGGAAGGCAGTTTTCTACTGCATCTTCAGAACCAACAATGCAGATCCTCTACTGCTTGCCTTTGCTAGGGTTCTCATGACAATGGAGAATTAGGACAGAAGAGTTGGTATTAGATGTTGTCACATGTAGGTATTTTATTTTGTTGCAAAAGACATGTTTGCAAGTACATTTTCTTACAAATTAATTTTTTCAGTTTTCTAACTTAAATTCTGAACTGTTAGGTGATAAAAATAAACAACATACTGTATCATGAGGAGAAATAAAAATTCACTGTATTACCAGTGCCTCAAAAGTCATGATCTGCATTAGAGTTCATGTTGGTTAGAAGCTTCTCCCACCTAGATTGAGATGCTTCGCTTTACATCCCAATATGTTTAATACTGAGTCTAAATAATCTTTCCTCTCTCCATGTAACCTCCTTTCTCTGACTCCCTTCCCTAGCTCTCATCTCTCTCATACAGTAAACACTGCTATTCATCATTTAACATGCTTATTGAACACATCCATAGGATATATACATAGCATTCCCCCTCCCTATTTTGGGATATTTCACTATTGCCCAGAGTAGTCTCTAACTCTTTAAGTAAAGTGGACTTCCAGCTTTAGCCTTCCAAGGATCTGGGACTCTAGGTGTACACTGTCATGATTTAGCCAAAACATTTGTTTTCCTTTGGCACTGAGGATCAAATATGGAGCCTAATCCAGGCTAAGCACATGCTCTATCACTAAAGTATATCTTTAGTTCCAAAATATTCCTTGAGAAAATAATTTTACATGCAAAAGGAGTACATGGGCTAGGAATGAGATACACATCTGTAATTCTAGCACTCAGGAAACAGGGAGAGAAGGATCAGAAGTTCAAAGTCATCTTCACCTACACAGCAAGTGTGAGGCCAGCTCTGACTACATGACAGCCTGTTTGTTCACCCCTGCTGCACCTCCGCCCCAATAGTATATAGTACTTATTCCACAACTGTTTGTTTCTTAATGAAAGGTACTTAAAATAGCATTTTAAATAATACTTTGTGGGCTGGGGAGGCTATCGATCAGAGTGCTTGCTTAGCATAAATAAGGACTTGAGTTTGATCCCAACACCAAATATACTTTTTTTTTTAAAGTACCTCATGTGCTTTGCTATTTGTACATGCTCTTCAATAGCTGACCACTTCCAGCTGATGGATATTTAGTTTTTTTTCAGGGTTTTCTGTCACAAGCAACACTTCACTAAATACTAGTATCCATCCTGTCTTGTGTATAGGTGTGTTTTCTAGGGTGGAAATTGGGTTATAGAATTCTTTGATCATAGTGTATATTCATTGTGAAGTTACTAGTTTTCTTCTCCATGGTAGTTATAATTCTATGAGCAGAAGTTCAAGTATCCACCATTTCCCTGGTATAAGTAGATTACTCGCAATTAGTCAAAGCTTCCCCAATTTTTTTAGGGTAAATGTATATACTTAGCTATCTTGTATTACTTCTTATTTCCTTAGTTACTGATACATCTAATCAGCTCTTCATATTTCAGATTAACCTATTTTCATGCTTACTGAATACTTCTTGAAAGAATGACTTGTTTATATCCTTTACCCCCCCCCGGTTTTAATCTTCCTCAGACAGGGTCTCCCTGAAGCCCCTGTAGTTGGAACTCAGGACACAGATGAGGCTGGCCTAGATCTCTTAGAGGTCCACCTGCTTTTCCCTCCAAGTGCAGGAGTTAAAGGCATGTACCACCACACCTGGCTTATTTAAATTTTATTAACTTATAAGACTTCATTGAATAGTCTAAATGAAAATCACTTTTTATGTTGCAGATTTCTTCTACCTTGTTGATTATCTGCTGAAACTGTAGATGTCTTCATTCATTATAAGAGTTAAAAGTCTGATGCAATCAAATATCTTAAACTTTGCCTTCATTCCATTTCTATTTTATTGAAAGCCTTCTTGCTTCATGCTGGGCCTTCCTGTAACCAGTCCTCCTTTTCAGTTGTTTTCAACTTCATGGAACTCTTCTAAGTAAGCTGGACTTAGGTAAAGGCTATGAGATATTTGTTATAGCTTCTTCTGGTTGGCTATAGATAGATATGCTGAAGAATTAAGGAAAATCTCTGTTGCACTGTGTATATTTATGTGTTGGCAAATGTTTTCTAGCACAGAGATCATCTATCAGCCTGTAGGAAATTACTACCTCACAAGATCATGGGCTTAGCCTAGATTAACAGTCTAGCATAGTATTTGGACTATTTGGAGTAGACAGAATGACTATATATCACTTAATCATCTAACTTCATAACAAATTTTGTGAGTTAGAATTCATAATGAATGAACGGTGTGGAATAGTCTCTTAGAATTTCATGAATTGTGTTTCTCTTTTGGGAGCCATAGAGGTGGAAGCATGGATGTAGCATGGAAAACCTATCCTGATGGAAACATAAAAGTACACACACACACACACACACACACACACACACACACACACACTTCATAAAGCCCTGTGTGTGTTTCCAGCTCTTCAGCTACACCTGAGGAGCTTAAGTTGTAGATATGATAGAAACACAAAAAGACATCATTTCAAAGCAATCTCAATACTGCATTCCAGAGAACATGAACCACTGACTCTGTTGATGGCAGGAAGTACTACAGTAAGTCAGTGCACACAGGCATGGCAAATAGCTTCATTTTACAGTGCTGTTGACAAATCTGCTCCAATGGATGAGTTTACTCTTGAAGGATTCATTTTGTGGGAAATGCACAACCACATGTCTATGCTAGTAGTTAGGTGGCCTGACAGAAGAGGAAAATGGGTATCTTACATTCTCCTTTTTACCTTTCTGAAAAAAAATCTGTCAAAATTATCATAAAAATGCAACCTACTGTCTTAATACACTTGAAATATGCCCAGGAACTATATGAAGTCTCTTACATCAAGAATGTGGTGTGGAAGCACATCATAGGTAGTGACCAACTCCAATTCAGACAGACTGGCTCATTTCTGGGCTCCAGGGTTTGCCATCTATGTGACCAGAACAACTTACATGACTTCTCTATGCTTTACTTCATCTGTACAACCAGGAGAAAATTGCATCCTACGTTCTGGGGCTGAAATAAGTAGATTAACTGGTTTATAAGTTCCAAGAATAATTTTACTACTCATGTGTAAGAAGTACACATTGATTTCCAAAAGGATATCAGTGGAACCTTATCAGTATTGGGTGCTATTATTAAAACTAATGTTTAGGATTTAAGGGTTAATAGACATAAAACAAGAATGGCAGTATAATAGGTAGTACAAAACGATAAGATTATGTTGATATATAATTTCTTTAACTCCTGGTAATTTTTAGATTGTCCCCATATACTTATTAGTAATTTAATTTTTTCAGTGGCCTTGTTTTTCTAACAACTATGGGATGAACATCTTCTCTTATATTTGAACGAACACTTTCCTGATAAATATATCTTCCTAGTCTGCAGCTCTTTTGATTTTAGCTTTTCATAGTTTTACAACGATTTTTATCTTCACTTGGCTTTTTCTCTTGTTTAATTTCCTTACCTTAGAAGTTGAACATATCTAATGCGATGACATGTTAATGGTCCAGTCACACTAGACAGTGGTCAACTGTCCTGTTAATAAGCAATTACTTCAAGGGTGTCACTGTACTTGCTTAACAATAAGGCAAGAAAATTCTTGAAATGGGAGTAATAAATGTCCAAATACCCAGAATGAGTAGGAAATACGTGGGTAAGTACAGCTAGAGGAAAGGGAAGCAGAGATGTGCAATGTCTTCTCTCTGTTGGGACATGACAGCATGTACCTCACATCATGACCTACCCTGACCCTGCAGCAAGAAGTAGTTTATGGTCAAGTCTTTACATACATAATTCTCATGTCTGGTGGCAGTCTGCTCTGCTGCTGATTCTTCAACTATTATGCCAAGATTTGAAGACTCTCCTGGGTCTTCTGACTCTCAAGGAGACATGCCTGGTTCACTTTTTGTATTAGTCCCATGAAGCATTTGGAGGCATTTGTAATCACAAATTTTGGAATTTACAAAATGCAGAGCAAATGTTTGCTAGATTAACATTTAAAATACTGAAAGAGGAATGAAAGAAAAGAAGAAAGAAGATAAAAAGAAGGAAAGGGAAGGAAGAAGAGAAGAAAGGAACACAGAAAGACAGGAAGGAAGGATAGAAGGAACTAAGGAAGGAAGGATGGGCAGATCTTGGGATGCAGCTTGGTTGGTAGAATGCTTGCCTAACACGCACAATTCTCAGTTCTCAGGCACAATGGCACAGGGCTGTAATACCAGGGCTTGGGAGGTAGAGGAAGGAGTATCAGAATTTCAAGGATGTCCCCGGCTACCTGGTGAGTACTAGGTAGCCTTGGCTACATTAGATCCTGTCTCAAAACAAGAATAATAAACTAAATTAAATTAGTATTTTGAATGCTTTCAATTCCTTTTAAGCTTGTTTCAAAATATATGGGACAGAAAGAAGTGCAATATTTGTACTCCTATCCAGGTCTAGGAACCAGACAATGACTTGTGTTACCTTTTAAATTTTAATTAATTAATTAATTAATTAATTAATTAATTTTTAGTACATGTCTTGCCACGTCACCCAGTCTGACTTGGAGCTCACTATGTAGTCCAGGCTGGCTTTGAACTTACAGTAACCTCCTGCCTCTACTCCTTAAGAACTGAAATCATAAGTGTATGCCACTACACATAGTGAGTTAGGTTATCTTAGAGAACATTTTTCCCCTGGACCTCAGTGTCCTCATTGGTAAAATAAAAGTTAGCATTACACTGGAAGTAATTTTCAGTGACGATGCTGTATTACAGGTTGAAAATGTGTTAAAATGTAGCGTTACAGTATACAGTTCATTGGGTTTCATATGCATATATATTAATTCTGAGGCTTGAATCCAGGAACTAGACAAGAAATTCTACCAATGTGGGTTATCTTATTATTTTTTTAATTATTGTGTCTAGTCTCATAAGATTGAATTATAGTAGAAATAATCATCAACCTTTTCATAGGTTCAAGTTTTAATTTGGATTTACTCAGTCCTTATAATCCCTAATACAACACATTTCATCATTATAAATTAATCTTTCAATGCCAGGCAATTGAAAGAAATGGAGAAACAGAGAGACTTCCTTTCTTTTAGAGTGTATCACCAATAAGCAACTGAACTGTAGCTCATCTGAGTGAAGATGAAAATGCTCGTTGGATTTCCAAGAGCTGATATGCAAAATGGTAGAACATATAACATTCACAATATCATACTTTCTACACACTGAAAGGATATTTATATACTAAATAAACATTGAATTAGAGATGTTTTTATTTTGTTTGTTTGTTTTTGAGACAGGGCTTCCCTGGAGCTTCAGCCGGCCTGGAACTCACTATGTAGACCTTGATCTCACAGAGATTCCCCTGCCTCTGCCTCCTGAGTGTTGGGATTAAAAGTGTGCACCACCACACCTGGCTTGAACTAGAGATATTTTTTAATCATTTTAAACATTTTTTCTTTTTTAGTTCTTAATATGTGGCTGCAGAAATATTGAGATTCATATATGTATCTTGAACTCTACCTCCATCAGACAATGTTTCTCAAGGAGTCTGGAGTCAGTCTAGAGAACAATGCTGCAGATGAAATGAGCATAAATACTAAAGGTGAAGGGAAGATTATCTATTTGTATTAAATACTTTTTTCCTTCTTTCAGCTAACTGGGTCTCTACTGATTTTTAAAGTGGTCAGTTTGTTCTCTCATAAGAAGATGGCTTCATAAGGAAGTTTGAACCTAAGTCTGGCTGGCTGACTTTTCTGGAAGTCATGGGACAGATCTGGGAATTGATCTTTCTCCTGAAGCAACATTATTGACCAGAGAGACCCCTGGCTCCTGTGAGGACTGTTACCAACACTTCTTCCATTTTCAAACAATTTTTGTGACAGGACTTAATTTCCACAGTTTATAAAGTATGTTTTGTTCCTACTTTAATCAATAAATTACACTTACGTGTTTCCATATGTGATTAGTGTTTTAAGTTTTTTAGTCTGCCTGGAAGTTTAAAAAAAACTCTACAGGAAACAGGTATTGAAGTATGGATTGATGATATCCAGGACAGTGGTGTCTTTTCTGCCTACCCCATAGCAGACTCTTCCTTAAGGGCGTGTCTATCACCCAGTCATTCTGTCAGTAGGGTAGGCAGAATGGGGACTAAATTCTGCCTCCTGCCTTCCTCCTGGACCTGGGGTTTCTGTATCCTCAGAGCCCTTGGCTGCATACTGTTTCTTATTGCTGCCCTCTCCCCAACCTTCACTCTCTGGCCCTTCATTTGGGGTTGATGGATGAAACAACCAGATGTGCAGTGTTGAGGCTCAGAAACACTAGCCTAAAATGAAGGACTAAGAAGCAGCTTCTCTCTGATCTTCTCCTGCTTCCTGTCTCTCACCCTAATTCTCTTCCTAGGCAAGACATAGAAAATAATATTCACCATCGCAAAGTCAAGTGATAGAAACCTGGACCCTCTTTTTCCCCCAAACCAGGTATAAAACCTTATTCTAACTGTTCCACTTTTTAGTGTGACAGTAGGGCATAAAGAAATTCTCTGACTTATCCTGTTTGCTTATAAGTCGTAAGATCCCCATCTGAAAAGAGGCCCTGCCCCATATCTGGAAAGAAGGAATGCTACACAGAGAGATCAAAAAACATCTGGATATTCAGGCCTTTCTGGATATTTCCTTTCTGGATATTTCCCATGAGTCTGTTACATTAGATCATACCCTTTTGGTTTAAAATATGTATTAATGCCAGGTGTGGTGGCACACGCCTGTAGTCCCAGCACTTGGGAGGTAGAGGCAGGTGGATCTCTGTGAGTTCAAGGCCAGCCTGATCTACATAGTGAGTTCCAGGACAGCTGGGGCTACAAGAAGACGCTGCATCAAGAAGACAAAAAATAATATGTATTCATGGTATGTGTTCTTTGTTGAAGCTAGGCATCAAAATGATCAGAAGTTCAAAGTACCTGATGCTTTGGGCTTCAACCTAAACCCTCCTGTGTCATGTCATGTAATCAAATAAATTTGTCACATTTTCCTTTTCTTATTGTCAGATGAAGATGGACATGATCAATGTGCCTTTCCAATAGGCAGGAAAGGATCACATCCCTTTCAACTCCTACAGCAGGAAACTCTGGAGCGATTTGAACAAAATTAGTTTAAATGGCTGAATTTCAAGTCACTATAGAACTTGATTTTTTTTTATTTTGTGCATTTCTTTCTTTTTTTAAAATAAATAATTGAGAATTTCATTCATGCATATAAGGTGTTTTGATCAAATCCATGCCCACTCCCTCCCCTCCAACTCCTTCCATATCGCCCCATCACTTTTTTTCTGATAACTTCATGTACTCTTTCTTCATCTTTAATTTTTTTCTGATGGGGCTTTGGGCTACTCTAACATTCCCCCTTCTGAAAAGGTAACCCTAATATCTTTTAAGGATTAGATAAAAGCTCCCAAATATTTTTGACATTTTTGGCCTTTGGAACGGAGTAGTTGCTAAAAGGCCTAAGGACAGTGAGTTTTAGCCAAAAAACTGGCTACTTTTCTTTGGGGTCTTTTTACCCCAATTGCCTAGCAAATTCCTACCTCTTATTCTTATCACACCATCCACTGAAGAGGTTACCCAAATTGCCAATAGGGAATAGGGATGCAGACCCCTCTGGCTTCTTCCATGCTGAACAGGGACACAGGGTAAGGTAATTGGAGTACCCCTTCAGTGGGTCTATATAAACGATCTCAAATTGCATAACTCTTATCTCAAGGAGGAAAAGAAAGTCTTTGAATAGTGAATAGGAGATGTGAAGAAGTAAAGGCAAGAGTAATTAGCATTACAAGTTCTAGACAGGGAACTAGAAAAAAGTCAGAACAGGGCAGTTTTCAAATGTTCCTATGAGAGTCCATTAAAATTTCTTGACAAGGCCTTTGATGTTTTTTATGCAAAAAAACCTGTGTTTCTATCAAGTCTGTGTTCCAGTTTTTAGATTATCAAGTTTGATGGCAATATGGAAACCCTCGACTTTGTTCTATACAACTTAGATTATACTTCCCATGAGACTAGTGATAAATCTAACAAAGGAACTAGAGCCTCTCTTTCCAATGTCATATGGACCCTTCACCAGGGAATTCAGTTATTAACACTGCCAATGAGATGTGATTCCAAACTGAGGGACTAAAGATGCTGTGGTAAGTCAACAAGGAAGTGTTTATAGTCCAGGCAGTTTTGGTTTATCATGAAATCACATTTGAGATTCAAATATTCGCAGTTTCACACTGAAATCGTGGATCCATTTGCACTTCACTTTTGTGCAAGGTGATAGATAAGGGTCTAATTTCATCTTTCTACAGGTGAAGATCCAGGTTTGCCAGCACCATCTGTTGAAGATACTGTCTTTCCTCCAGGGTGCATTCTTGGCACCTTTGTCAAATATCATGGTGTCCTTTTTATCTCTATAAGAAATTAAGATCATAGAAAGGCTCAGTAAAGTAAGACTTTTCAGATACTCTAGGATGATGCCATGCTTGACAGTATAGAGTAGCTTAGGCAGGGGAAAGATGAGATCAAGCTGTTCATAGAGGAGACAGATTCTGAAAAGTCTTACAGGCCAATGTATGAACCATGTAAGAACACGTTTCAATGCTGAAATAGAAACTGCTGGAGAGTTGTGTACAGAGAAGTAACGAAGTATGGCTATTTATGTATTTCTTTTGAGATAGACTCTCAGGGAGCCCAGGCTGGTCTCAAACTCCCTGTATAGCTGAGGATGATCTTGAACTTCTGATCCTCCTGCCTCCACATCCTAGGATTACAGGTATGTCCTGCCATATTCATTTTGCATGAAGCTGGGGCTTGAACCTAGGGAAACACTCTACCAATGAAGCCACTGCCCAAGCACCACAGTCTTCTATTTTAAAGGATTCTTCCTAGTGCCTCAGGACAAACTGTAAAGGGAGAAAGGTATAAGCAAAAAGATCACCTATGAGGTAACTGAAAATTGTAATTGTACTGAGAACCAGAACCGGGTATCACCTTCAAACGCTGCTGCTCTCAGTGACCCACATCTATCTAGGTCACAGTCTCAAATGTCCCACAGCATCCCAAGCCAGCACCACCAGCTGAGGACTAAATGAACACATGTGACGGGGGGGGGGCGACATAGTTCCCATTCAAATCATGAAGCTCTGTGAGAAGGTAGCACAGTCTGGTCTTGTGACTGGAACCATTCTGCCTCAGTCTTCTGAATGCTGAGATCAGAGGTATGTGCCGCCACTTAGTGGGATTTATGTTTTGTTTTTATTTAGTGTTTTGGAGAAATGGTCTTGATATGCAACTAAGTAGCCAAGACTAAGCTACAACTCACAAACTTCTGCTTCAGCTTTGAGAGCACTGGAATTGCAGTTTTTTGGGGAGGGTTGTTTTGTTTTTAATTCTTAATGGTGTCTTGTTAAGAACAGAATTTTTGCAACTATTTTGTTGAGAATTTTTGCATCTATGTTCATTAAGGATATGGGTCTAGAGTTTTCTTTCTTGGTTGTATCTTTACCTGGCTTTGGTATTAGAGTGATGCTGGCTTCGTATAAGAACTTGGAAGTTCTCCCTCCATTTCCATCCTTTTGAATAAATTAAGTAGTATTGGATGTAGATCTTCTTTAAATGTCTAGAATTCCGCTGTAAATCCAACTGGTCCTGGGCACTTTTTAGCCTTGTATTGCTGTTTCAATTTCCTCATGTATTATGGATCTGTTTAAGCTGTTGATCTCTTCTTGGTTTAGTTTTAGTGGTTCCCATGCTTTTAGAGACCCACACATTTCTTTTAGGTTTTTAAATTTAGTAGTATATAGGTGTTTAAAGTATTCCCTTATAATGTTCTGGATCTTTTTAGTATCTGTTGTGATGTTTCCCCTTTCATCTCTGATTTTGTTGATTTGGAGGTGCTCGTTCTTTCTTTTGGTTAACTGTGCTAGCGATCTACCAATCTTGTTTATATTTTCAAAGAACCAGCTCTTGGATTCATTGATACTTTGTATTGTTTTGTTTCTATTTCATTAATTTCTGCTCTGATTTTTGTTATTTCTTCTTGTCTACTGGGTTTGGGTTTCATTTGCTGTTGCTTTTCAAGCTCTTGAGTTGCAATGTTAAGTCATTTATTTGTGTTCTTTCCAATTTTTTAATATAGGCACTTAGACCTATATAATTACCTCTAAGGACAGCTTTCCATGTGTCCCAGAGCTTTGGTTGTATTGTATTGTCCTTGTCATTTAGTTCCAGGAATACTTTTTTTTTTCTTAATTTCTTTCTTGAGCCATTCATCATCCAGGAGTGTGTTGTTTAATCTCCATGCATTCATGTGGTTACTGTGGCTTCTTCTGATGTTGATTTTAAGCTTTATTGCATTGTGGTCTGATAGAATGCATGGAATTATTTCAATCTTTTCATGTTTGTTGAGGTTTGTTTTGTGCCCCAATACATGGTCGTTTTTGGAGAAGGTTCCATGGGACGCTGGATAGAAAGTATATTCTTTGGTGCTCGGGTGGAATATTCGGTAGATGTCTGGTAGGTCCACTTGATGAATGGCATTGTTTAATTCAGATGTCTCTCTGTTAATTCTCTGTCCTGTTGACCTATCTAATGGAGACAATGGGGTATTGAAGTCCCCTACTTTAATGAGTTGGGATTAATCTGGGTCTTAAAGTCCTGTAGTACTGTTTTTATGAAGTTAGGTGCACCAGAGTTTGGTGAATATGTGTTCATTTTTGTAATATCTTCTTAGGTTATTGCTCCTTTGATCAG